CATGATAGTAAATTTTGTAAAATTGTGTTTTTTTTTAATCATGATCGTTTTTTGAAAATTTGTTTTTTTTTTTTTTAATCCATATTATTCAAAGAGAAAATGAGAGAGATGATGATTCTGAGGCTACCCTATCCTAGCCATATTATTCACATATCGAGTCCCAACAGCAACAGTGTAGGGATGAGCACGAAATACTGTAAATTAAATGCTGAATGGCGGTTCATGCAGGGAAAGAACATATCAATATTCGCATATTCATTCAAAAACATGAAAATTCTTAATGGAGTACCCTCATTTTTTATTGAATTCCTAAAAAATAATATTTATAATGAATTTTAATAATTTTTTCGAATTTTTTTTAAGCTTTATTCTGACCGATTCACCCGATTCTCGATCCGGATCGCCGATTCGCCGATTCGGATCAGTTTTTTGGAAGCCCGATCCGGGGTCACCGATCCGTTTTTTAAACCATTGGTATATATAAAAAAATGGCGAAATATAGAAAGGAACTGGCGGTTCTGCATAGTAAGACAGATTCTCTACCATAAAATGACTATCTGGAATGGGCTTTTGTCGGATAACTATTTTTTCACGTATTTTTTCCCCAATTCATTGTCTTTTTCACACAGTAAAAAGGTGATCTGGACCGCCCGATCTGGGTCCCCGATTAATCTTTTAATTCACAGACAATATCTATAAATTGAGTGGAGATAATTCATTTGGACAGTGAGATTAAAGTATTTAAAAACTGGGATTAAAGTATTTAAAAAGTTCATTCATTTTTAAAATAGCAATAAGGTGTTTTCGAAGTGCATTCCCAAATTCTTGGTTAAAAAATCTTGTTCATAAAATAATGTAGATGGAAAAAATTAAAGTTGGGTTGATTTTGAAAATATGTACGGAAAATATTATAAAAAAATAATTGTCACAAATATTCGAGTCCATGAAATTCAGATATATCGACTTTTTTTTGGTCTACGGAGTTTTCCCATTTTCCACCAGTCGACTTCCACAACATGACAATTATCCTAGTTGCCCCTCTTGATATGGAATTATCCGAGTCGCCCCTCAAGTCCCCATAATGCCCACAAGCATAAGATGCCCTCCCAACTTTAAGCATGACCAGGCTATCCCTATACTCTTCTATGATGAAGAGCATGATTGCGTTTTCATGGATGACAATAATATGTAGCGATGGATATATTTAATAATTTTATTTTGAAAAAATACTAAATGTTATTTTAAAATAATAACCTTTCAAAAACTTAAAGAAGGAAAACCTTGTACTATTCTATAAATAAGGAATGGGTTTTTAGAACGATGGAGAAAAGAGAAAGTTCAATTTAAATATGAGAATACTCAATTTTATTTTCTTATTACCTATTTATGGGTAGAGGTGCAAGAGACTTTGCATTTGGCATGCTCGAATGGGCACAAAGGTGCTTGTATTTCGGTCTGGCTCTTGGCTCACTTCTTTGTGTTGTGGCCAAGACAACCATGTCACTAAACAAGTTGTGGCCTGTTGAGCTTCACTGTCGCTTGAGATATGCATTGCGACATTGCATTGCTGATGTCACAAGATCGACACAAAATGCTTTTGTTTGCAACGGTTCTACGCAATTGTTATTGTTGACAAACTAGTTATATAACGGATGTAACTGGCGTATGACTGTTAAATAGTTAAGCAACAAGTTAGTTTAAAATTGTATAAGTTGAACAGTCACAGGGCATCGAATGATCACAACCCATGGCTTAAAAATATATTTTCTCTTTTTAGATAATTTAGATCTCATTTTTTCAATACAATTTTACTAATTTTAACCCATTTTCTCACCTGGTTTCTCTCTCTCTAAGGAAATGCAACTCTCTTGCATTGAGCCTGTTGATTTTGTGCATTGAACACAATAAGTATTTGATTTTCGGTTTGCAGGTATTCTATGAGTAAATTTGCCTGGAGAACCTTATGTGTACTGATTATTATCAGCAGGGACGAATGTCATCTTCAAATGATGCATTGATGTTCCTAAAAAACATGAAAACTTTCCAACTATTTGCAAAATTATCAACGAAATAAGGTTTTCACTACTCCTATTCACCGATACCCCCACAAAGTTCCAACATAAAATGCCTATGTATTTTCAATATCTCTAGTCATTTTGAATTTTAAATTGTTTTTGAATTGCATAGTGCTGCTTATACAACACCATTTCCCGTGGTTATCACACATACACGGAGTATGATCAAAGCATGCATACCCATGTTTATCAAGATTGGACCTGACTATATGGTTTGACGAGTCGGATAGCCAATCGCTGCCTTAGTCAGTTTAGTCTAAAGCAAAACAACAAATTGGATAAAAATATCGGTCAAAATTAATATTTAACAAGTTTTAATTGGTTAGACCATACAATTTTAATTGGTTTGGACCAGTTAAACAACATGGAATTTTCTTGTTTAATATATTTTGTATTTTTAAACTATATATATTTTAAAATATAATTGAACCAATCAAAACTAGTTTTAACTATACTTTACCCTGATTGGTTCGAATGCATGTCCAAGCCAATAACATTGTGCATACCTTCAACATACATTATGTGGCATGATGATTAAGTCAGGAATATTTATAGACACCCAAATTTGATAGTTTCTTTATTCCTATGTCCCTAGGCCCTAAAGCTAGTATTAACCCTATTTAGAACCTTAGACCTAGGAAATTAAGCATTAAAAACCTTAAAAAACTTAGATACCACACAAGCCCTATACACCCTGGAGAGCTAGATCTCTATGCAAAATTTACAGATACGACTTACTACAATGCACATGGGGAGCTAGATCTATGACCAAAATGGAAATCATTTTATAGTCACCCAAATAAAAGAAATCATTTTATTATTAATGGAAGTGGAATGTGGGTTTGTAGGGACCTTTCCAACCCTAACTTCCAACACAATTGACTTGGCTCCTAGTCAATGTCGTGTATTCATTGAAAACTCCAATTAAAAATACATGAAAGCATAGACTTGGGAGCTTCGTCCAATTTTTTGTTCCTATAATTTTGGTATTTCTTCCAAAACTTAGGGCTTTGAGTCGTTAATTTGATTTAACATAGAATCAACATAGGCTTTAACACTAGCTTGAAAAGAACAGAGAATATCCTTAAAACGGTGAAACCACCAATGTAAAAAGAGACAATAGTGAATATTTCAGACTTGGCCAAAAAAAAAAGGAGCGAAAAAATTGGACACGTAAAAATGACATAATACAGGATTATGATTTACAAGTATTATAGAGATACATTAACACCATTAAACAATAATTTTATGGCCTTACCTTGTGTTATTATAGTAATGCTTGATGATATTTTGTCGAAACTCTCAACAAATCCAACAACAATGTTTATAATGTTGTCACAACACAAAACATATGATAGATTTATTGGGGGCATGAAATAAAACAACAACAATAATACTAAAAACAATAACTCCATTAGTAAATAACAAGAACTGTAAACTAAGGTATAGGATTCTTGTTCATTTTAAAAAAATAATAATAATAAAAACCCCAAGTATAGGATTGTAGTTAACTAAAATATAACCGAAACACCAAAATATGTAAAATAGTGGTCCATTTAAAATGTTATGTTACATACATCAATGAAATAAAAATAAAAATAAAAATATGAAATTAATCAAACAGAATGCTTAAGAAA